TTTAAACTCTTCAATATTCTTGCATGAGGTTTGATGTTGTTTCTGACACTGACTTTCATATTTAAAGAGGATGATTCTGACAGGAGTCACTATCTGTTGGAGTGTTTGATGCATGATAATCCCATTATATATTGATACAGATTTGCCACTCACTTGTGTGCAAAGCAACGTGCCAGGCAATGTAATTCAGTAGTGAGTAAGCTACGTTCAGACGTTACCATCATAGAGCTTAAAGTCTAGTCGGGAACACAGACATATACAGGTAATTACAACAGTGTGGGGAGTGCTAGAACAGAGAAGGACGCTGTACTGAGGGAGACCCAACCTAGACTTGGCAAGAGGTGAAGGATGAGTAGCTGAAGCCAAGAATTTCCAGAGAAAGCCATCCCCTTTGCACTGCTTTCGTCAAGTGGCTGACCTCTGCTTGCAGATATAGGTCTTGTTCGTGCTTATGTCTCTTTCTCCTGTTCAACTTGAAGCCCTTGCTCAAAAGGTCAGCCTGTTCCTGACTGTAGAATGATATTTTGGCCATTAAAAAAGTCATATAAAAGAGAATTCAAAACAACTTTTTTTTACCCCCTACCCCCATACCCATCTCACTCTGTTGCCCAGGCTGGAGTGCAGTGGCACTATCTCGGCTTACTGCAAACCTCTGCCTCCCGGGTTCAAGCAATTCTCCTGCCTCAGCCTCTGGAGTAGCTGGGATTATGGGCACATGCCACCATGCCCAGCTAATTTTTGTGTTTTGGGAAGAGGTGAGGTTTCATTATGTTGGCCAGGCTGGTCTCGAACTCCTGACCTTGTGACCTGTCCACCTCGGCCTCCCAAATTGCTGGGATTACAGGCATGAGCCACCATGCCCAGCTCAAGATATCTTTCAAAGTTATGGCTCAATACATTTTTGAAACTACTATACTGATAGTTTTGGCTGTTTACGTTTAAACTTACTGTGCCACAGCTGGCCAAAGAAATTGTTGCTAGCCTTTCCCTATATATATTCTGCCCACCCCATTTTGCCATTTCCTAATAAAAGAAAAATAATATTTATTTTCCTAGTTATACAGTAATACAAGTTAATTTTAGAAATTTGGGAAGTTAAAGAAAATGATCATTTTTAAATGTTTATGTCACCCTAGTCGCTACCACGAGGGGCAGATTTGCCCTGAGTGTTTTTTTTTTTTAAAGATATACAGTCAATATTCATTAGTCACAGATTTCATATTTACAAATTCCCCTACTTGCTAAAACTGAATTGTAACTGCCACTCAATACTCACAGTGCATTTCAATTATTTGTGGACATGCAAATGTCAGAGCAGCAAAAAAGTTGAGTTGGCCAATGCATACATGCCCAGGTGATGATATCAAACAAGGTGATGCCTAGTCTTCTTATTTCAGCTCCCACACTATAAACAAGTATCTTTTTTAAGGTCTACTTAGTGCTACATTTTTTACATTTATATGCTTTTCATTAGTGCTCTTGTGGTTTAAAATGGCCCCAAGGATAGAGCTGAAGCACAGTCTGGTGTCCAAGGCATAACAAGACTGTGATTGTCTTGAGAAAATACATGTGTTAGGTCAGCTTCTTTCAGGCATAAGTCACAGTGCTGTTGGTTGTGATTTCAATGTTAAGTAATCAGTAATATGTATTTAAATAAGATGTCTTGAAACAGAAACACAAATAAAACAGGGTTATAAATTGATCAGTTGACAAAAATATTGTGGCCAGAGGCTTGCAGGAACCTAACTCTGTATCTCCCCTAGGTGCAATGACCCCGTATTTGCAATGCAGTGTTTGTAGTGACCTTGTAGACTATAACTACCATAAATAGTAAGAACTGTCAGTATTTTCTTTATGTCAAAAAAGAAAAAGGAATCATACCATATGTCAATTTTCATGTACTACTTTTTTCTCTTAACCTTACATTTTGAGCATTTTTCAATGTTATTAAACATTTTTGAGATATGCCTTTTAATAACATATTCAAACCAATGGATCTCCATGATTTGTTTCCCTCTTACTAGACATTAGGTTATTTCCAAGGATCATTCTTATATATATATGTTCTTGTGTACCTCACTGATTCATTTGTTGCCTCACTCACTCATTAAACAAATATTTATTTAGCACTTTGTCCCAGGCCTCCTGCATAAGAATACAAAAATAAATAGTACAGATACCAATCTCTGCTCTCATGAAGCTTATTATCCACTGAGACAGATAATAAATATGTACACAAATAATTCACAGTAATAATAATAAGTGCTGGTAGAGACAAGCACAGGAAGCTACAAAAAGCCCATGGAAGGCCTGACCTTGATCAGGGAAGGGTTCTGAAGTGGCAGTTTCAGCCGAGCCCTGTAAGAACTCAGGAATGAAATGCACTAGATGCCTAGGATAGGGATAGAAGAGAGGGGTTTTCTTCTCTCTTCCTCACTCTCTCTCTTTGCCCTCCTCCCCACAGCACAGGCCAAATAGTGTATCAATGGGCTGTGTCTTTCATGTGCCTGTGACCCAGGGTCAGGCTCTCACCTGGCTGCCTGCGCACAACCCACTACTGCCCTTTGCTCCCCTCTTGCCCCCCACCACATAGAGAGCAAAGACATGCAGGAGAAAGAGGTGGTTAGAAGAGGCTCAGGGACACCTGCCTGGAGTGGGTCCTGCCATTGAACCCCATGGGACCCAACAGGCAGAAGAGAGAGGTGAGATGTGCCTGCAGGCCTGCTCAGGGTGGGGCCTGAACTCAGCTGCAGTGTTTGGTTTATCACTGGCTGTGGCCACCACAGATACCTGTCAAAACTTCCTCCCTCTGCCCTTTTCCCAGTAGAGCAGCTCTCTACTCGCTCTCAAAATCATCTCTCACTGTTGTTTGAAAGACCAAATTCAGGGGACAAATGGCTATTTAGGGGCATCAGTGTGCAATGTGCAAATAAGTCAGTAGTACTAAAGTCAAGGACCAGTTAAAAACATTTGTTGGCCTCTTTCCACATCTTAAGGGCAACATTACTTTTAGAAGTCCAGGTGTCCACTTTGCCAGGGAATCTTTGAAGCCATTTTCTTTAAGAGTATTCCTCCAAGAAATACTTACACAGAGAGAATTTGTGACACTTTGAACATCAGGGAATTAAAATGTGCAAAGCTTAAATTATTGGGGGATTATTGAGGGGAATGTCAGCCTGAATTCCATCAACCAGAATTTAGAAGAAATGCAGTTTGTACTTTCTGAAACGTTAGCACTAATTCTAACTGCTAACTAGCCATTGCCACTAGAGGTCCTGCCTGCCCAACTTCAGGGAAAACACAAGCCTCCCAACTAGTCCCTGAGTAATGTGATTTGTAGCACATGGCACTTAAGTGCTTGGAAATATTTATTCTCTGAAAAGGATTAACCGCAGTGACCAATGGCACACTATGCATCTGCTTAGCAAATTTTTTCTTAGCACAAAAGTAACTTCAGCCAATTTATAGGCTAAACCTTTATCAATTCCAAAGCAGCAATGCCCAAATTAGTACACAATGCAAATAGGTAATTTCTATCAAGAAGGCCTTGATATCCAGGATACAAATTAACAATGGCTTAGGTACCAGCTATTCACTGTGATTCACTAGAAAATCCAATGTTGACAACACATCCACTAATCCTAATAAGGTTTCTTAAAAACATCTTCATAGAAACTTCAAATTCCGTATACTTTAGGCTAAAATTAGCTGATGCTCACTCACAATTTTCACCCTGAGTTGCAGTTTGAGTCTAATTTGGCACCTTACTCAGTTGTCTGTAACAGGCCCAGGTGAAGAAGGGTGAAAAAAAGGTGTTAGTTGCAAAGTCAGGATCTGACTTAATAAACTTTTGCCTTCTTGTTATCCTATATATTATCTTGTTAAAATTCAACATGACTTATTACCATTAACCTCCACTGCCTTCTCACCAAGGCCTTTTCCATTTCATTGCAAATTTAGGTAAGCACATTTTCACTTTGCCCAACCCCTATAGTTGATGAGTGACTTCCCAAGTTCATCCCCTGCTCAGCCTTTGTCAATGTCTTCAGCCATTCCTTCCAAGAAACTGTTCTGGTTTCTGCAACATGATCTATTCTTAGCCCTTGCTGGCGAGTCTTAAACTCTCAAGTTTTCATCGAAGTGACTCAGTAATCTGGTCTCAATAAATAACTGCAATTTGTATGTGTGTGTCTTCCCCCAAGGACACATCTTAACCTTACAACGACAGGGTACTAAAGAAGTTTCACAACTGCAGTTGCATTTTCAGGAAAAGCACTCTGCCTCAGGTTTTCCTAAGCACCTTTCTTTTTTTATCCATGACATTTGAAACAATGGTTCTCAGCCCTGACTGCCCATGTAAATCATCTGGGGAGCTTTTAAAAACCGCAGGTGCCTGACCCATATCCCATACCAATTGAATCAAAACTCTATGAGCAGAGCCTGGGCACTGATATTTTTGAAAACTCCCAGAGTTGAAAACCAGTGTCCACAAGTGTTAATTAGGATTGTTTTGTTCACGTCACTTGATCAAGATTTTTAATAAAGATATTCCACTGAAACCTATGAGAATTTAACATAGGTTAATAATAATGACTATTAATATTTGCCTGAAGATTTTAACATGCTATAGAACTCTCAGAGCTTATTTGCTATTTGCATAACTAATCGATATTTATGAAATACATACTAGGGACCATTCTAGGTTCTAGAACAAAAAGATTTAAGAAGACATGGCATTGCCCTTTAGAGATTGATATGGTTTGGTTCTGTGTCCTTATCCAAATCTCATCTCAAATTGTAGTACCCACGTGTCAAGGGAGGAACCTGGTGAGCGGTGATTGGATAATGGGGACAGTTTCCCCATGCTGCTCTAGGGATAGTGAGGGAGTTCTCACAAGATCTGATGGCTTAAAATTGCCAGTTTCCCCTGCTCGCTCGCTCTCTCTCTCTCTCTCTCTCTCTCTCTCTCTCTCCTGCTGCCATGTAAGATGTGCCTTGCTTCCCCTTCACCTTCCACCATGATTGTACATTTCCTGAGGCCTCCCCAGCCATGTGGAACTTTGAGTCAATTAAACCTCTTTTCTTCATAAATTACCCAGCTTCAAGTAGTATCTTTAGAGCAGTGTATATACAGATATCTACAAACTAGTCAATGAAATCAAACAAGAACACTTCCACACAGCTTACAGGTGGTATGTGTACAGTACAATGGAAGTCCAAGGAAGGAGCGATCTGGCATACCTGAGAAGTTCAGCAAAGGACTTATTCAGGAGATAACTCCTCTGCTGAGTCTTGAAAGATTAGTCTTTCAAGTGAAAGATGGGGGACTGAGAGAGGTTTCAGGAGTCTCAGGCAGAAAGGGTAGTATAAGCAAAGACAGTGAAGCTATGAAAAATACTAGTATGTTCAGTTAATTAAGTAAAAGGAGAAGCAGTGGGGGAGGAAATGAAGCTAGAGGGTCCTCAGGGGACATAAATGCCATACTAACGAATTTGGACTTTATCCTGGACCACCAGGCCCTCAACATTTTTATCACATACTCCTATTAATTTTTTTAAATAGCACATATCTCCAATATATGTTTGTTTATGGTCTACATAAATATAATGCTATGTTCATACATTATAAAACATGTGCTAAAAACAGGAATTTTAAAAGAGCAAAATTTAAAGCACCTATAAGTGCTCCTTGATGTCACCCTCCTCTATCACAGTGAACCATCCTGCTCATCCTTAGACTATGCATCCTCCACTTTGAGACAACTACAGATAGGGAGAGTTGGAAAAGTGAGTTAATCTACTCTTCACAGAACTCTCATGAGGTATATAGGGCAAATAGTAAGAAAACTAAGACCTAAAGATTTGGAGTGACTCACTGGGTCACACCGCTAGTTAAAGCAGGGGAAGGACCAAAATCACAACTAAGGCCCCGGCCAGCATTTCACCTACCATCCCACATCATCTCCACTGAGTTATGCTCCTTACCACAATTTCCTTTGAAGTCAGAAGGACTTGAACAAGAAATGATTTTGTGTTTAATTATGAAATCCTCACTTGAACATGAGAAAAATTCTGAGAAGATGACTATACAACATTATTGGGGTTGGGTGCGGTGGCTCACACCTGTAATCCCAGCACTTTGGGAGGCTGAGGCGGGCGGATCACGAGGTCAAGAGATCAAGACCATCTTGGCCAACATGGTGAAACCCCGTCTCTACTAAAAAATACAAAAATTAGCTGGGCGTGGTGGTGCACACCTGTAGTCACAGCTACTTGGTAGGCTGAAGCAGGAGAATTGCTTGAACCTGGGAGTGGAGGTTGCAGTGAGCCAAGATCCCACCACTGCACTCCAGCCTTGTGCCTAGAGACAGAATGAGACTCTGTCTCAAAACAACAACAACAACAACAAATTATTGGGATTAAATTGACTTAAGACCACTGTATTGAGATCTAGTAGGGGAGATATTTATTTGAAACAAGTGAAGAATAGAATGACCTTAGTTAGCAGAGAGCTATTATGTACACACAAGAATGAATTTTTCATTTTTAAAGACGGTGGTATGGCAGTATGGAGATAGCACTGGCTTTGGAGTCAGGGGACCTAGGTTTCAATTTTAATATCACCACTGAATATGCTTTGCATGAACTTTAGCAATTTACTTAAGCATACCCATTAGTGAAGTGGGGTTAGATAATTTTTACTCCATAAGACTGTTATGAGTACTAAACAAACTCCTCTCAATAGAATAGCTGTTCTTTACTTTCCCTTTTCTAAACAAAATACCATAAATTGTGCTAATCACTAAAATTGAGCTGAACATTGCATGTAATTTCATTGTTTTTGCATCACACAGAAGGCATTTTAGGAAATTTCGTTAAATTATTATTGTAAATGAAAGAAATGCTTCTTGTTGGAAAAAGTGTTGACTAAACTAGCTTTTTTATACACAATAATAGCTACCATTTATTTAAGGCCACCTAAGTGCCTAGGGTTTTGTTAGTTAGTATACATATATTTTATTAAATTTTCACAACTCTATTTGCAGCAAGTGTCATTATGCTAATTCTATAAATGAAGTTAATTGGTAGAGGACCCACAAATAGAATCCAGTACTTTTTGTCAAAAGTCTTTTCTATTACATTAGGTTAAAGCGTATGAATCTAAAACTTCATTCACAAACTTTCACAGAACACTAGCTTCTTGAGACATAAATATTCATTCAAGAGTCAAGACTATCATAAAAACCTACCAACAAAGAAAAATCCCAGGACCAAATTACTTCACTAGTGAATTCTACCAAACATTTAAAGAAGAATTAATGTCGATCTTTCTCAAACTCTTCCAAAAACTTGAAGAGGGAAGAATACTTCCAAATTTATTTTATGAGGCCAGCATTATGCCAATACCAAAGCCAGATAAAGACACTACAAAAGAAGAGAAAACTGCAGACAATATCCCTGATAAGCAAAGATGCAGAAATCTTCAACAAACTACTAGCAAGCTGAATCTAAAAGCACATTAAAAGGATCATACACAGTAACCAAGTGGGAGTTATCTGTAGAATTCAAGGATGGCTCAACATATGAAAACCAATTAGCACCACATTAACAGAATAAAAGATAAAAATTATATGATCATCTCAATAGATGCATAATAATCATTTGACAAAATTCAACATCCTTTCATGATATATACTCTCAACAAACTAGAAATAGATAAAAATTACCTCAACATATCATAATTAAGGTGATATATAGATGACCCACAGCTAATCTCATACTCAATGATGAAAAACTGAAAGCTTTTTCTCAAAGATTAGAATCAAGGCAAGAATGCCTTCTCTTGCCACTTCTATTCAACAGAACACTGGGAATCCTAGCCAGAGCAGTTAGGCAAAAAAAAAAAAAAAAAAAAAAATAGTGCCCAAATTAAAAGAGAAGAAGTGAACTTGTCCACATTGTTTGCAGATGAGATGATCTTATAAATTAGAAAACTCTAAAAACTCTATTTTAAAGAAATATCTGTTCAAACTAAACAATGAATTAGTAAAGTTGGAGGATACAAAATCAATATATAAAAATTACTTGCATTTCTTTTTTTTTTCTTTTTTTATTTTATTTTTTTTATTGCATTTTAGGTTTTGGGTTACATGTGAAGAACATGCAAGATTGTTGCATAGTTACACACGTGGCAGTGTGAGTTGCTGCCTTCCTGCCCCTCACCTATATCTGGCATTTCTCCCCATGCCATCCCCCCCAACTCCCCACCCCCTGCTGTCCCTCCCCTATTTCTCTCCAACAGACCCCAGTGTGTAGTGTCTCCCCTCCCTGTGTCCATGTGTTCTCATTGTTCAACACCCGCCTATGAGTGAGAACATGCGGTGTTTGATTTTCTGTTCTTCTGTCAGTTTGCTGAGAATGATGGTTTCCAGGTTCATCTATGTCCCTACAAAGGAAACGAACTCATCATTTTTTATGGCTGTGTAATATTCCATGGTGTATATGTGCCACAGTTTCCCTGTCCAGTCTATCATCGATGGGCATTTGGGTTGGTTCCAGGTCTTTGCTATTGTAAACTGTGCTGCAATGAACATTCATGTGCATGTGTCTTTATAGTAGAACGATATATAATCCTTTGGATATATACCCAGTAATGGGATTGCTGGGTCAAATGGAATTTCTATTTCTAGGTCCTTGAGGAATCGCCACACTGTCTTCCACAATGGTTGAACTAATTTACACTCCCACCAACAGTGTAAAAGTGTTCCTATTTCTCCACATCCTCTCTAGCATCTGTTGTCTCCAGATTTTTTAATGATCGCCATTCTAACTGGCATGAGATGGTATATCAATGTAGTTTTGATTTGCATTTCTCTAATGACCAGTGATGATGAGCATTTTTTCATATGCTTGTTGGCCTCATGTATGTCTTCTTTTGTAAAGTGTCTGTTCATATCCTTTGCCCACTTTCGAATGGGCTTGTTTGTTTTTTTCTTGTAAATCTGTTTTAGTTCTTTGTAAATTCTGGATATCAGCCCTTTGTCAAATGGGTAAACTGCAAAAATTTTTTCCCATTCTGTTGGTTGCCGATTCACTCTAATGATTTCTATACACCAACAATGAACTATCTGGAAAAGGAAATTAGGAAACAATTCTATTTAAAATAACACCAAAAAAATAAAATATCTAAGAACAAACTCAACTAAGAAGTTGAAAACAGACTGAACACTACAAAATATAGTAAAAAAAGAAAACAAGACACAAGCAAATGAAATGATATCAAATGTTCATGGATCAGAAGACCTAATATTATTAAAATGTTCATACTTCTCAAAGCAATCTACAGATTAAATGCAATTCCTGTCAAAGTTGCAATGGCATTTTTTTCGTAAATAGACAAAATGCTAAAATTCATAGCCATATAAATCTTGAGAAAGAAGAAAAAAGCTGGAGGACTCACACATCCTTATTTCAATATATAGCACAAAGCCACAGTAATCATAATGTTATGATACTGGCATAAAGACAGACATATAAGCCAATGGAACAGAATAAAGAGCCCAGAAATAAATCCATGCATATATGTTCAATTGATCATCGTGAAAGGTGCTGAGAATACACAATGGGGAAAAGAGAGTCTTTTCAACAAATGATATTGGGAAGACTGGATGTGACATACAAAACAGTAAAACTGGACCCTTACCTTACACCATACACAAAAAATCAATTCAATATTGTTATTTTACATTTAAAGATCTGAAACTATAAACCTGCTAGAAGAAAACATAGAATAAAAACCACTTGACGCTGGTCTTGGCCATGATTTTGTGGATACAACACAAAAGGCACAGGGAACAAAAACAAAAATAAATAGGACCACATCAAAAGAAAAAGTTCATGCACAGCAAAGGAAACAATCAACTGAGTGAAAAGGCAACTTACTCAATGGGAGAAAATATTTGCAAACCATGTATCAGATACAAGGTTATTCTCCAAGCTATACAAGGAATTCCTACTACTCAATAAGAAAAAAAAAAAAACCTAATAACCTGATTTTTAAAATGGGCTAAGGACTTGAATAGACATTGCTCCAAAGAAGACATGCAAATGACCAACATGTATATGAGAAAATGCTTAATATCACTAATCATCAGGGAAATGCAAATCAAAGGCACTATAAGAATAGATCACCTCACACCTGTCGAGATGAGCGTTATTTTATTTTTAATTTTTATATTATACTTTAAGTTCTGGTGTATATGTGCAGATCATGCAGGATTGTTACATCGGTATACACATGCCATGGTGGTTTGCTGCATCTATCTCCTGTCATCTACATTACGTATTTCTCCTAATGCTATCTCTCCCCAATCCCCCCACTCTCTGCTATCCCTCCCCTTGCGCCCCTCATCCCCCAACAGGCCCTGGTGTGTGATGTTCCACTCCCTGTGTCCATGTGTTCTCATTGTTCAACACCCACTTATGAGTGAGAACATGCAGTGTTTGGTCAGGATCAGTATTATTTTTTTTTTTAAAGACACCAAATGTCAAGAATGTGGATAAATTGAAACCCCTGCACACTGTTGGTGGGAATGTAAAATGGTGAAGCTGCTATAGAAAGCAGCATAGATGTTCCTTAAAAAAATAAAATAAATATGACTACCACATGATCCAGCAATTTACTTCTGGGTATGTATTTCCCCACCAAAATTGAAATCAGGATCTAAAGAGATATTAGCACTCATATTCACAGCAGCACTATTCACTGTAGCCAAGACATAAACAACCTAAATATCCATCAACAAATGGATAAAGAAAATGTCATCTATGCATACACAGTTGCATACAATGGAATACTATTCAGTCTTTAAAAAAAAAGGAAATTCTGCAGTATGTGACAACATGGATGAGCCTTGAGGACATTATGCTAAGTAAAATAAGTCACGGAAATCCAAATACTATATGATTCTACTTGCGTAAGGCATTTAAAATTGTCAAATTCATAGAATCAAAGAGTGCAATTAAGGTTTCTAGGGCTAGGGAGCGAAGAAATGGGGAATTACTAATCAACAGGAATAAAGTTTCAGTCAAACAAGATGAATATGCTCTAGAGGTCTACTGTTCAACATTGCACTTATAGTCAACAATAATGTACACTTAAAAATGGTTTACACAGGTAGATCTCATGTTAAGTGCTATTACAACAATAAAATTTTTTAAAAATCAAATAGTTTGGGTATTTATACAAATAATTTTAAAATAAAAACTAACTTTAAGGAGATTGGCAATAGATAAAATAATCACACACACACAGAAACTCAGCCTACCAGAGCTGCATTAAGAGGTTCAAAAGAGTACGTTGGAATTATTAAAGATTCTGTGAAACCCTGAAGGAGAAAAAAATCAATTTATTCTTATTTAATCCAATTTTCAAATTTGTTTAACTATGTAGACCTTTCTGGTTTCCAAGAATACATATTAACATCACTCAGGGATGAGTATGCAATAAAAATTAGTTTGGCAAATGCTTATCTAAAGAAACCATAAGACTACTTCCATTTGATATATTATTTGGTATTATCAAAAAGCCAATGACAGATGAAATACTATTTTTCTAACCCTTTGTAAGATTTAGTAGGTACAGAACAGGGAGGATTATATGGTTCTTGTCTACAGCAACAATTCCACATAGATAAGCTTTTGGTCTCCGCCGCTTGCCACTCCTCAGACTTGTTCCCTTCCACAAACACAAAACTTGTTTTGGAAAGACAAAACCAAAGGTATTATTAAGTGGTTCTGAGCATCCTGGAATTAAATGACGCCATTTAGTGGGAGCTTTTCAGAACACAAGGAATGACTGTACTGCAATGCATTTCAAACAACTCATGAGGGAAAGCATCTCTTCTTGTACAAGTGACTATGACTAAAGAAAGCTTGTTCCTCATGAAGAACTTTCAGAGGTAGAGCTGCAGGGCTGTTTGGAAAGCGCTGCCTACCAGAGCAGGGAAATTGCAAAAAGCTACACACAGAACCAGAAGGAGCTCATTGTGTTGGTCCGTGATTCCCCCCTTGTCTCCTGCCTGGTCTGGAGAACCACATCACAATGGGGAGACTGCAGAGAGAGGCCAGAGGCGGGTGTCATCATTGAAAGCTGAGGAAACAGAGGTTGGTAAATTAGTTACACCATTGGACTGAGCTCTGTCAGGCAACCCCTGAGCAACACAATGTAGATTTAGAGCTTGTTAAGATCAAATACACAGGTGTGTTCCTTCCAAGGAACCTACAGAAGGCTTTGAGTTAGTATAATCAAGGGCACCAATCTCTCTTGGGAAAAAGTGACTCCTTAGGCTTTCCATTAAAAAATAGAGTTTTGGTTCATAATGTTGACAGACCAGTCAGAAAACAAGGAGGATAAGCTTGAGGGGCTAAACACAGGCATGAAGGGCAGTATTAACTAAAAAAGCAGTATTATCTGAGGCAGCAGTGTTAACGGGTTTCCTTCCTATCACACACAAAAGCATCTGGGAAATATTTGGTAATATAACTTTGAGTTCTCTTTTTTTCTCTAGTGCAAAACAAAACATGCTTGTAACAGGACATCAATATAAAAACAGTAATACAGAGTGTGCTGTCTCTGGTTTAAATAGCCTATCTTTGAAGTGTACGGAAATACTATTAGATGGAGATAGAATCCCCAACTATAATCCTAATAGAAAACAGGAGAAAGGAGTGTCTATTCAGTTGCCTAAATGTATTTACCCAGAACTTCAAATCTGGTTATTTCGCCTCTTCCTTATTCTCATCTTAAGAAGTCATTTTTCTTTTCATACTAAATAAATTTTCAGGCCATAAAAAACAGTTTTCCCCCTCTGGCCAGTGACCAGAAGTCCTCAAGTTTCTCTAATTTGAAGTTATACTTCAGTTATGTTTGAAATAGCCTGAGTTTGGAAGATATGGTTGATTGGGCTCTATATTTAAAGTATAGCAGAGCATATTAAACTTTACAGAGCATTCGTCAACAACTCAAGTCACCAGTGTCCATGATGGACAGAATCAGGTTGATTTCACTTTCCAGGGTAGGAGAGTAGCCTAACAACTCTGAATATCCTCAGGCTATGGTTCCTGGTGCCTTAAAAGACATTTTGGAAATGTCATTTTCTGTCACCATCATTTTCTGCCAGAGCTGCCAGCAGCATGGTAACTTATGAATTGTCCCAATAGGGGAGAAAAAAAAAAACAGGTGAAAACCATGAGTGGCCAAATTTACGCCACATTATTTTTTATTGAGATATAATTTACACACCATTAAACTTGCTCCTTTAATGTGTACAATTCAGTAGTTTTAGTGTACTCACAGAACTGTGTGACTATCACAACCATATAACTTTAGAACGTTCTCACCACCCCCAAAAGAAACCCCATACCCATGAGGAGTCACTACCCACCCTCACTTTCCCCAGCCCCTACACTGGACATTTCATATAAATCGAATCATATGTGATCTTTTTTTCATTAGGTTTTTTTTCAATAAAAGTGTTTTCATGGTTCATCCAGATTACAGTATGTATAAGTACTTCATTTTATTAACAAATTGTTATTCCATTATATGGATACACCACACTTATGTATCCATTCATCATTTAATGGACATTTGGGTTGTTTAGTCTTTGGGGCTATTTTTAATAATGCTGCTGGAAACATTTATGTACAAATTTTGTATCTACATATGGTTTCAATTCTCTTGGGTGTACACCTGGGAGTGGAACTGCTGGATCATATGGTAACTCTAAATTTAACTTTTTGAGGAACTGCTAAACCGTTTTCCAAAGCGTCTGCACTGTTTTGCAATCCCACCAGTGAAGTATGACAGTTAAAATCTCTCCACATCTTTGCCAGCATTTGTTATGGTCTGTCTTTTTTGTTTTAGCCATCTTAGTAGGAATAAAGTAGTATTTCATTGTGGTTTTTATTTGCATTTCCCGGATGACTAGTGAGGCTTTGCAACTTTTCATGTGTTTATTGATCATTTGCATATATTTTTGGAGAAATGTCTATTCAAATACTTTGCACATTTTAAAATTGGGTTACTTGTCTTTTGTTGTTGAACTAGAACAATTAATTATATACCAGGAATAGAAGACTCTTATCAGATATTTGATTTACAAATATTTTCTCCATTTTTGTGGATTGTGTTTTTACTGTCTTCATAGTATCATATGAATCACAAAAAGGTTTTGATTTTGGTAAGGTCCATTATATATTTTTTTCTTTTGTCACTTGTGCTTTCAGTGTCATTTCTAAGAAGTAATGCCTGATCCAAGATTCCGAAGATTTTCTTCTATGTTTTCTTCTGAGTTTTGTAGTGTCAGCTCTTTCATTTAGGCCTATGATACATTTTGAGTTAATTTTTGTGATTCATGTGCTTTAAGGATCCAGCTTCATTCCTCTGAATGTGGATATTCAGTTATCCCAAACCTTTGTCTTTGTTGAGGAGCCTCTTTCCCCTCCATTGGATTACCCTGGCTTTTTTTTTTTTTTTTTTTTTTTTTTTTTTTTTTGAGACAAAATCTCACCCTGTCGTCCAGCCTGGAGTGCAGTGGCATGATCTCAGCTCACTGCAACCTCTGCCTCCCAAGTTTAAGTGATTCTCCTGCCTCAGCCTCCCGAGTAGCTGGGACTACAGGCACATGCCACCATGCCTAGCTAATTTTTTTGTATTTTTAGTAGAGATGGGGTTTCATCATGTTGGCCAGAATTGTCTCAATCTCTTGACCTCATGATCTGCCAGCCTTGGCCTCCCAAAGTACTGGGATTACAGGTGAGAGCCACCACGCCTGGCCCTACCTAGGCACTCTTGTTGAAAATCAGCTGACCCTGTAAAAGCCTACTACTGAATTTTCAATTACTTTCATTGATTTATATGTCTCTCCTTATACCAATACTGTTCTTATACTTTATACTGTCTTCATAACTGTAGCTTTGTATCAGGTTTTGAAATCAGGAAGGATGAGTTCTTCATCTTTGTTCTTCTTATTCAAGACTTTTGTGACTGTCGTGGGTCCTTTGCATTTCCAGGTGAATTTTGGATCAACTCATTAATTTCTACAAATAAAGCAGCTGAGATACTGATAGGTATTGCACTGAATCTGTAGATCAATTTAGGGGAGTATTGCATCTTAATGTATTCAGTCTACTGATACATGAACATGACTTGTGTTTCCATTTATTTAGGCTTTCTTTAACTTGGATATTTTGGTTTTTAGCGTGAAAGTATTGCATTTCTTTTTAAATCTATTACTAGGTATTTTCTTTTTGATACTAATTTATAAGGAATTTTTTTCTTAATTTCACTTCCAAATTGTTCATTGTCAATACATAAAAATACAACTAATGTTTGTATATTGATCTTGTATCAGGAAACCTTGCTGAACTTTGTGTGTGAGTGTGTGTGTGTGTGCGTGTGTGTGTGTGTGTGTGTGTGTGTCTTAGGGTTTTCTATATAATGATCACTTAATCTGCAAAGAGAGATAGTTTCACTTTTTCCTTTTCAAGCTGGATGCATTGATTTCTTTTTCTTGACTAATTAGCCTGGTTAGCACCCCCAATACTATATTAAATAGAAGTGGCCAGAGTAGATATCTTTGCCTTGGGAGAGGGAAAAACATCTGGTCTTTCACCATTAAGTATTTTTTTAGCCATATGGGCTGGGCTTTATCAGATTGAGGAAGCTCTCTGCTTTTTCCCTGGTTTTTTGAATGATTTTTATCTTAAAAGAGTGTTGGGCTCTGTTAAAAATGATATTCCTGCATCTATTGTGCTCATAACATAATTTTTGTCATTTTATATATTAATTTAATGTATTGCCTTGATTTATGATTTATGTATGTATGTTAAATACATCTTGCATTCCCGGGATGCATCCCACTTGATCATGGTTGTAATTCTTTTAACATGTTTGCGGATTCAGACTGCTGGTATTTTCTAGAGAATTTTTGCATCTATATTCATAAGATATATTGATCTTTAATTTTCTTTTCCTGTGATGTCATTGTCTTATTTTGGTATCCATTTATACTGGCCTCATAGAAGCAGTTCAAAAGTATTCCTTCCCTTTCTATTTTTTGGTAGAACTTAGGAGGATTGGTGTTAATTCTTTAAGTATTTGGTAAAATTCATTAATAGGGCCATTTGGCCTGGACTTTTCTTTGTGGGAAGTTTCATTTTTTAAATTACAGACCTAATCTCTACACTTGTTATATTAAGATTTTTTATTTTTTCTTGAATTGGCTTTAATAGTTTGTGGTTTTTTAGGTGTTTGTTCAGTTCATCAAGATTATCTAATTTGTTGCCATACAATCGTTCATGTATTTCCTTATAATCTTTTGTTTCATTTCTGCACAGCCAATATCCCCTCTTATAGTCCTAATTTTAATAATTTGAAATTTGAGTCTTTTTTTCTTGGTCATCCTAGGTTAAGATTTGTTAATTTAACTTTCTTGATCTTTTCAAAGAATACCAAAGAATATACTTTTGGTTTTATTGATTTCCTCTATTGTTTTACTATTCTCTAAATTTTTATTTCTACTCTTGTTTTTATTATTTCCTTTCTTCTCCTTGCTTTAGGTTTAATTTGCTCTTTTTTTTTCCATTGCGTTGAGGTGTGTTTTAGTTATTGATTTGAGGTTTTCTTCTTTTTAACATAGATATTTTCTCATATGCTATTTTAATTTTCTTGTTTCTCTTACTCTATATTTGAGTTATTTTCTTAGTGGTTGCCTTAGGGATTACAATTAACATCTTAACTTAAAATAATCGAATTTGGATTAATACCAACTTACTTTCAATTATATATAAAAC